AATGAATGAATCTATTTGAATGAGAAACTCACTGTCAAAGCTCACTATTTATTTAATTAATAACAATTTTGCATCAGCAATGACATCTACATTGAGGGTAATGTATGTAAATATGTATAAAAATTCCCATGGGTTTCGGTTCCTTTCACGGATTCGTATGGATTATCTCAATTTTCAAAGGAAAGTACAGCCATATATGGTGAGTCCACGCTTATTAATCATGAATCGTATGTATTATGTACTTTCAGATGTTACAATTGATATATAGTTATTCATCAGGGCACTGATACTTTAGGTCCAGTAATTGGACTAAATGGATGTCCTCCCGAAAGAAAAATAAACATATACATACTAAAATAAATGTATCGAATACCAGAAAACTACTTATAGTATCAGTTCCAAATATAACTGTAAGTAATAAATACACTTATAGTATCAGTTTCAAATTTATCTGTGAGTAATAAATATACGATCTTCAGTTATATAAAGAAGCATGATTTGATGGCACGATTTTAGTGTCTTCATGTCTCAATTTGATTTAATGAGTACATAATTTTTGTAAACACTGCCAACATAAAATTCTTATTCCAGAGAATATTAATATATTATCCAAAAAATGTTCAATTATCTTCAATTTGGATGTAAATTATATGTTTTTCCTAAATATATCATCCTATATAACTTCAAAGCTTCGTGTCATTTAAACGATTACTCATTTAGTTACAGTTTTTTTTGTGACGCCTCTTATTATATTTTCAGAACAATTGGCTTAAAGCAGTTTCGTGTCTTAATTTATCATTTCTTTTTAATGAGAAAAAATACCTTGACAGCAAAACCTTGGCTTGATAAGAACTACGCGGACTCTGTTTCTTTCAGACAAACAGAAGAAAAGTAGTTTGCTGACTTAAAATGCGACCCTACAAACACAGACGATGTCAGAAGCCGTTGAATACCATAGTCAAATTACAAAAATTGCACTTCGAATTGCTTCCGTAACCTTCCTATTCGCCAGATTTGGCTCCAAGCGATTACTACCTTTTCGCAGATCTCAAAAAAATGCTCCAGAGATGAAACACGGAAATGAAAAAAATTGAACTTCGCCAAAATGTTGTTGTTTTATTGGTTACCCTACAGACTAATCTGCAAATATGTTATGATTATGTTATAACTGTTGTATATACCGTATTTACTCAAAATGGATTGAAAACTTTAACAAGTTGATGATTCAGAGCATAATTCACAGTTATTTAAGTAAGATATCTTAAAACAATATATAACATAAATCTATCACTTCACTCCGGATCCAATTCCCATTACGAATAACAATCTTGAAAAATGTCTCAAATGAAATGTTCGTAAAAAAATAATTTTAAGAACTGATCAGTTGTTTAAATGTTATTAATTCCTTAGTAATATTTTATATTGAAAACAAAATTTTCAAACCTCTCTGGTGGTACTACTAG